ATATCTGACAAAATAGATTTCAAAATGAAGGCCATAACTAGAGACAAAGAAGGCCACTACATAATACTGAAAGAATCTATCCAACAGGAAGATATAACCTTGATAAACATATATGCACCCAATATAGGAGCACCAAAATATATTTAAAATCTCCTGGAGGACTTCAAAGGAGAAATCAATAGCAATACAATCATAGGCGGGGACTTCAACACCCCACTGACATCACTGGATAGATCCTCTAGACAAAAAATTAGCAAGGAAACAGAGACTCTAAATGAAGCACTAGACCAAATGGATTTAATAGATATCTACAGAGAATTACACCCCAAAACTACAGAATTCACATTCTTCTCAAGTGCACATGGGACATTCTCAAAGATAAACCACATGTTAGGGCACAAACTAAGTCTCTACAAGTTCAAGAAGACTGAAATCATATCAAGCATCTTCTCAGATCACAATGGCATCAAACTAGAAATCAATGGCAAGAAGAACATACAAAGACATTTGAACACATGGAAGCTAAATAACATGTTATTAAACAATGAATGGGTCACTGAGGAGATCAAGGAAGAAATCAAAAACTTCCTGGAAACCGATGAAAATGAAGACACAACAACACAAAATCTATGGGATGCAGAGAAAGCAGTTCTGAGAGGGAAGTTCATAGCACTACAGGCCTACCTCAACAAACAAGAAAAATCTCTAATAGACTATCTAACCTCACAACTTAAAAAACTAGAGAGCAAACAGAAAGAAAACCCCAGAGCGAGTGGAAGGAAGGAAATAGTAAAGATCAGACCAGAAATAAATGACATACAGACCAAAAAAAAAAAAAAAAACAATTCAAAGGATCAATGAAATAAAGAGCTGGTTTTTTTGAAAAGATATACAAGATTGATGGACCCTTAGCTAGACTCACCAAGAAACAAAGAGAGAGAATCCAAATACACAAAATCAGAAATGAAAGAGGAGAAGTCACAACTGACACCACAGAAATATAAAAGATTGTTAACAACTACCATGAACAATTATATGGCAACAAGTTCGACAATCTAAGTGAAATGGACAAATTTCTAGAAACACGAAGTCTCCCAAAACTGGACCAGGAAGAGATAGAAAACTTGAACAGACCAATAACAACAGAAGAAATTGAAGATGTAATCAAGACTCTCCCAGCAAACAAAAGCCCAGGCCCGGATGGCTTCACGGGGGAGTTTTACCGAACATTCAAAGAAGAACTAATACCCATTCTCCTCAAACTATTTCAAAAAATTCAAGAAGAAGGAAGAATTCCAAACTCGTTTTATGAAGCCAGCATAATTCCAATTACAAAACTAAAAAAAGACACTACAAAGAAAGAAAACTACAGGCCAATATCCCTGATGAACATAGATGCCAAAATCCTGAACAAAATACTAGCAAATCCAGATCCAGCAATACACAAAAAAAATTATCCACCAAGTGAAATTCATCCCAGGGATGCCAGGCTGGTACAATATTCGCAAATCAATAAACGTGATACACCACATAAATAAAATGAAGAATAAAAACCACATGATCATATCAATAGATGCCGAAAAAGCCTTTGACAAAATCCAGCATCCATTTCTCATAAAAACGCGCAGCAATGTGGGAATAGAGGGATCATATCTCGACATAATAAAGGCCATATATGAAAGACCTACAGCCAACATCATACTCAATGGGCAAAAACTAAAAGCATTTCCCTTAAGAACAGGAACAAGGCAAGGATGCCCACTTCCGCCACTCTTATTTAACATAGTACTGGAAGTCTTAGCCACAGCAATCAGACAGGAAGAAAAAATAAAAGGGATCTAAATAAAGGAGGAAGTGAAACTGTCATTATTTGCAGATGACATGATACTATACGTAGAAAACCCCAAAGACTACATCAAGAATTTACTTGACTTAATCAATGAATTTGGCAAAGTAGCAGGATACAAAATTAACATCCAGAAATCGATGGCATTCTTATACACCAATGATGAACTCACAGAAAGAGAAATTAGGAAAACAATTCCATTTACCATTGTGGCAACAAAATTAAGATACCTAAGAATAAACTTAACCAAAGAAATAAAGGACCTATTCGCAGAAAACTACAGGTCACTGAAAAAAGAAATAGAGGAAGATATGAAAAAGTGGAAGCACATACCCTGTTCATGGATTGGAAGAATTAACATCATTAAAATGTCCATACTACCCAAAGCAATCTATAGATTCAATGCAATCCCCATCAAAAGACCAATGACATACTTCACAGAATTAGAACAAGTACTTCAAAAGTTCATATGGAACCAAAAAAGGCCTCGAATAACCACAGCAATCTTGACAAAAAAGAACAAAGTTGGAGGGATCACATTACCAGATTTCAGGTTATACTACAAAGTCACTGTAATAAAAACAGCCAGGTACTGGCACAAGAACAGGCATATAAACCAGTGGAACAGAACAGAGAACCCAGAAATGTACCCAAGGCAATATGCTCAATTAATATTTGACACAGGTGGCAAGAGCATACAGTGAAGTCAAGACAGCCTCTTTAATAAACGGTGTTGGGAAAATTGGACAGCTACATGCAAACAAATGAAACTAGACCATCAACTTACACCCTACACAAGAATAAACTCAAAATGGATAAAAGATTTAAGTGTGACTCATGAATCCATAAAATCCTAGAAAAAACTGTAGGCAACAAAATTTCACACATCATACGTAGCAAAATTTTCACTGATACATCACCTAAGGCAATAGAAACAAAGGAGAAAATGAACACATGGGACTACATCAAACTCAAAAGCTTCTGCACAGCCAAAGATACAATCATCAAAACTGAAAGGCTACCCACTCTATGGGAGAGCATAATTGCCAATGATATATCAGATAAGGGGTTAATTTCCAATATATAGAGAGTGCTCATACAACTCCACAAAAGGAAGACAAAGAACCCAATTAAAAAATGGGCATAGGAACTAAATAAACATCTCTCTAAACAGGACATACAAATGGCTATGAGACATATGAAGAAATGCTCATCATCACTAATCATCAGAAAGATGCAAATTAAAACAACAATGAGGTATCACTTCACATCTGTCAGAATGGCCGCCATCCACAAATCATCAAACAAGTGCTGGCAAGGGTGTGGAGAAAAGGGGACTCTAGCACACTGCTGGTGGGAATGCAGACTTGTGCAGCCACTATGGAAAACACTATGGTGTTACCTCAAAAAATTAAAAATTGAACTGCCATTGGACCCAGTGATCCCGTTTCTAGGAATATACCCTAAGAAGCCTGAAACACCAATCAGAAAGAATATATGTACCCCCATGTTTGTAGCAGCACTATTTACAATAGCTAAGTTCTGGAAACAGCCCAAATGTCCATCAGTAGACGAATGGATAAAAAAGCTGTGGTACATATACACAATGGAGTACTATGCAGCTATAAGAAAGAAAGATCTCTTATCTTATGAGACTACATGGAGGGACCTGGAAAGTATCATCCTAAGTGAAACAAGCCAAACAGAGAAAGACAAGTATCATATGATCTCACTTATTTGTGGAATATAATGAACATAACAGTCTGATGAATGGGGTAGTCCCAGAGACGTGGAAGTGGGGTACAGACTGACAATCCCCAAAAGAGGGGGTGGGGGGAGAGATAAACCACAGAACTTATATCCATGTATGCATGAACAGTATACATGGACAATAAACTGGGGACAGGACAGGGGAGGAGGGGGAGGAGGAATCAGTGGGCGCAAAAAAAGAAACATCTGTAACAAAAATTAATTAATTTAAAAAAAAGTGACGAAAGTGGTCATCCTTGTCTTGTTCCTGTTCTTAAGGGAAATGATTTTAGTTATTGCCCATTGAGTATGATGTTGGCTGTAGGTCTTTCATATATGGCCTTTATGATGTTAAGATATGATCCCTCTATTCCCACATTGCTGAGCGTTTTTATCAGAAATGGATGCTGGATTTTGTCGAAGGCTTTTTGGCATCTATTGATATGATCATGTGGTTTTTATTATTCATTTTGTTTATGTGGTGTATCACGTTTATTGATTTGTGAATATTGTACCAGTCTTGCATCCCTGGGATGAATCCCACTTGGTCATGGTGAATAATTTTTTTGATGTGTTTTATTTTTATATATTGTCTTTCTCTAGTTCATCTGATCTTCCGAACTCAGTCTGGCCATCACAGTCCATTCCTATGTATTCCTTTGCCTTATACACACAATCCCACCTCCTTCCATGGGGGGAGCACACCCATGATCAACCGCCTTCTCACCCTCTCTTACTGTTGTTCAGTTTCTGTGTCTCTAGGTTTCTCTAGAATGTTCTCTCCTTGAAGAACATTCTCACTCCCACCGCTAACGATTCCACGTCTTAAACCAGCCATTACTTCAGCTTCAGTCCAGTCATAGACCCAGTTGTTCTCATCGTTTCTCTTATTTCTCCTTCCTATGAAATGCAATGGCAGCATCAGCCTTAGCATGCCCACTGTCCTAAGAGGAGTTCTCAAGATGCAGCAAAGGAGTCTCCTGGTTCACAGATACAGTTCTGGATCTGGCCAAAGTATTCAGGAGGTACTAAGTGTCCAGTAAATACTATTTATGGACATGTCAAAGACCAGAAGTAGATTGCAAATGAGAGAGGATGTGAAAATAAATACTAACTTTCATTTGGTGGTTCAACTCAGGACAATAACCATGGTCCTCTTGTGTCTGAGCAGGAGTACTGACCAGGCAGAGTCCTGGGAGTCAGAAGAGACCCCATATTTGTGGTGAATGTCTCCAGAGGTCCTAGAGTCCTCCTGTGCACTCAACATAAAAATCCCTGAGACAGGGCCAGGGCGGGGCCGTCCCCCTGCTGTGGGTTCACAGCTGAGGAAACCCGGAAGGGAGGCGCAAGCTCCTGACTTGCCACATCCTGTGCATCTCCGTCCTCAGCCCCAGGGTCCCGTCCATATGCAGAGCACTCAGAGCAGGTGCCATGACGTCCCTCCTCCCTGCTCTTCTCTGCCTCGGTCAGTTGTGGATTTGGGGAGGGGGCAGAAGGAGGAGGTGGGAGGCCATGCCCCTCTTCATGGGAATTCCAGAGCTCAGATGCCCCAACTGGACTAGGCCCTGAGGGAAGGGAATCAGCTCAACGTCTGGCAGCAAATCTCTGACTGGGTCTCTCTTTCAGGGCTGAGTCTGGACCAGAGGATCCACACGCAGGCAGGTGAGTCCTCATCTGGCTCCATGTCCACCTCTTACTTTAACCCTGGGGTCAGGACAGAGCACAGAGGTTCTGGGATGAAGTGATAATATGTGAGGGGCTTTGGCTGAGCTGAGGGAAGGGGGTGGGAAGGTATTTCTAATTCAGCTTCTGGTTTTCTTCCAGGAACCCACCCCAAACCCACCATCTGGGCAGAGCCAAGCTCTAGGATCCCTCTTGACAGCTCCGTGACCCTCTGGTGTCGGGGAACCATGAAAGCAAAGGAGTACTGTCTGTATACAGATGACATGCCTATGTGCTTGGACAGACAGAAACCGGCAGAGCCTGGGGACAGGGCCAAGTTCTTCATAGATGTAAATTATGCAGAAATATATTCCTGCACCTACCTCAGCCCCACTGGCTGGTCAGAGCACAGTGACCCCCTGGAGCTGGTGCTGACAGGTGAGGGGACACTCAGGGGTTCCAGCCTCAGGCTCTGCCCTCAGGAGGGGTCTGCTTTCAGGATGTCTTCCTCTCAAGCCCAGCCCTGGGGGACACAAGTGAGGTAAGAGCCCCATTTAAGAAACTCCCTTCATCTCTCCTAGGAATCTACAACAAACCCAGCCTCTCAGCCCTGCCCAGCCCTGTCGTGACCTCAGGAGGGAACGTGACCCTCCAGTGTGGCTCAGGGGAAAGATTTGACAGGTTCATTCTGACTAAGGAAGGAGAACGCAGGCTCTCCTGGACCCTGGACTCACATCCAGATCCCAGTGGGCTGTCCCAAGTCCTGTTTCCTGTGGGCCCCGTGACCCCCAGCCACAGGTGGACATTCAGATGCTATGGCTTATTTAAGAAAAGCCCCCAGCAGTGGTCTGACCCAAGTGACCCCCTGGATCTACAGTTCTCAGGTGAGGAGCCCCTGAACACTTACTATCTGAGAACAGTCAGCTCAGGGTCCTGTCCCCAGGAGACATGTGAAGTTGGATGAGAGTGAGGGGCTCTGAGGATGGTCACCCAGCAGAGATCTGCCCCTCAGAGATGCTCTCACATCTGCCCACTTCTCCCTGATGCCTGAATTCGGAAGGTGGTGTGTGGCCAGGGGCTGTCTCATGGGGAGACACAGAGCACATGTAGAAGAGATGGAGAATTTGGGAACTTCGGGGTTAGCCCCAGCCTCTCACTCTCTTGTATTTTCATTTCCAGGACCCCCTGTGGGCACCAGCCCCCCACCCACAGAAGCCATCTCCACAGCTGGTAAGTCACTGGGACTCTGCTCAGAGGGAGCACAGAGCACCCAGGAAGTCCTGAGAGGCTATCAGGGGATCTAACGTCAATCAGATACTCAAGGGTGGGCTTGTGTCCCAGGGGGCTGGGAGTCCCTGGGCTCTGAGGCTGGCAGGTAGCTGGTGGGGTGGTCACGGCAGAGGGAGATGCTGGGGCCCACGCTGGGGGAAGAGAAGCAGAGCTTAAATGGGGAGAAAGCAGCCCTACTCCACAGTGCCCATCCTGATCCCCAGGAGGCTCTGAGGCTTGGTCGTCCCCCCACACATACACACACACTGAGTCAGGCCTGCAGAAGGGTAAGGGGTCTCTGTGGAAGGTGGTGGGTGTGTCCATGGGGGACAGGAGCTGAGTTACGTGGGGGTTCAAGACCCTCTGGAGACACAAACTAGGACACTTCCCCTGTCTGGGCCTCAGGGTCCCCAAGTGTAAAAGAGAGATTGGTGGCCATGAGCTTAGATTTCCTTTCAGTTTTGGCTCTGACCTCCCAGGAGAGAGGGGCTCACAGGGACACCCAGGACGTGGTGTGGGGACTGTCCGCTCTGCAGCAGTGATGGTGACATGCACAGGGAGGGGCAGGCAGGACAAGGGTCTGGGGCATCCAGGTCCTTTCCCTCAGCCCAGGCTCAGCTCAGAGGAGAGAGGGCTGGAGTCAGACCTGGTTCAGTTCCCAGATCTGCTCCTGTGGGGGGTCAGGTGGTCCCTTCTCTTCCCTGAGTGTTGGGTCATGTCTGTCCATCCCTGGTCCCCTCCTGCTCACAGGCTGCTGTCAGATCAGGTGACATAAGGGGCCCCACAGAGCTCAGGAAGGCAGAGCCCCAGCCCAGCCCCACCTTCTCTCTAGGGTGGCTCCTGAGACTCCCTGCCTATCTGTACAGCTGGGGACTCATTATCTCAGGAGAGAACGTGGCCCTGCTGTGTCAGTCACAGAGGCTGAGGGACACATTCCCTCAGTCCAACGAGGGGGCTGCCGATCTGCCCACCCCTGCATCTTAGATCAAAGTAGTGAGCTCTGCAGTTCCAAGCAGAGTTCTCCCTGAGCCCTGCCACCACTTTCATGGGTCACCCACAGGTGCTACATTTCTCTCAGCACCTCCCACCACCTGCTGTCTCACCTGACTGAGCCTCTGGACCTGCTGGTGTCGGGTGAGGGGCCCCTGACCCTGTTCCTCTAGGATCAGTCAGCCCATGGTCTTGTCTCTTCAGAGTCTAAGATGATAACAAATGAGAGGGTCCAGGGGGCCTCCACACATGGGGACATTTAGGAGCCCCTGACTGCAACCCCTTCTGCATGAACCCTGGGTCCTTAGCTGTTCAGTAAGTGGGATCTTCCAGCTGTGGGGGAATACGCTTATGCCTCATGCAGAACACAGAACACACAGCAGTCATTAGTTCTGTATTGAGACCATTCCTCCCCACTCCTGAACTCTTGGGTACAGTTCACCTCAATCAAAGTGACTCAGAGCTGGTCTGGACTCAGAGATCACAGGAAGTTGAGATCAGCCACTGAGGAGACCAAAGGACGTGATAGAAAAGAGACAGGGCTCATTAGGGGACTGTGGAAATGTTGTGATCTGAGAATTGGGGCCTCTGGGAGCACAGGTCCCAGGAGGAAGGCTCATGGCTCCCCAAGTCTTTACTCCCACCCTCATTCACAATCCTAAGGAGCAACTGGCACCACCCAGCTCATCACAGAACACGTCAGACCCCAAGATTGCTGAGTGGGAGAAATCTGAGTGATGGGGCTGAGCTCAGAGGGTCAAGTCTTGTCAAAAATACACAAGTTTCCACTCCCAAGAGCAGTGCACCAGAGTCCCCTTTTCTCCACATCATCACCAGCACCTGTTTGAAGATTTGTTGATGGTAGCCATTCTGGCAGGTGTGAGGTGATACCTCATATTCCTTTTAATTTGCATCTCTCTCATGATTAGTGACATTGAACATTTTTTTGTATGTCTCTTGGACGTTTGTATGTCCTCTTCAGAGAATTGTCTGTTAGATCCTCTGCAGACTTTTAATGGATTGTTTGTCTTCTCTTTGTCGTGTTTTATGAGTACTTGTTATATGTTGAAAATTAAACCCTCATCCAATGTATCATTGGCAAATACCTTCTCCTGTACAGTGTGTTACCTTTTCATTTATTTTATTAATAAATTTATTTTTGTTGCAGATGTTTCTCCTTTTTCCCTCCTCCCTCTACAACTGCCCCCACACAAAATTGTTGTCTATGTCCATTGGTTACACATACATGCATATATGTTCTCTGATTCATCTCTTCCCTTCCCCTGCCCACTCTTCTGGAGTTTCTCAGTCTGTTCCCTACTTTTATGTCTCTGGGTCTATTTTGTTCATCAGCTTATTTTGTTCATTATATTCCACAAATAAATGAGAGCGTGTGATATTTGTCTTTCTCTGATTGGCTTGTTTCGCTTAGGATAATACTCTCCAGATTCCTCCATGTCGTGTCAAAAAATACAAGACACTTCTTTCTTACAGCTGCATAGTGTTCCATTGTGCATATGTACCATTGCTTTTTATCGACTCATCTACTGATGGACACTTGGTCTTTTTCCAGATCTTAGCTATTGTAAATAGTGCTGCTATTAACATAAGGGTACATATGTTCTTTCTCATTGGTGTTTCAGGCTTCTTAGAGCATATCTCTAGAAGTGGGATCAGAGGGTCAAATGCATATCAATCCTTAATTTCTTGAGGAAACACCAAGTTGTTTTCAACTGTGGCTGAACCAACCTGCATTCCCACCAGCAGTGTACTAGAGTCTCCTTTTCTCCACACCCTCGCCAACACTTGTTGTTTGATGATTTGTTGATGGAGGCCAATCTTACAGGTGTGAGGTGATACCTTATAGTCATTTTAATTTAAATCTCTCTGATGATTACTGAGCATTTTTTATATGACTCTTAGCCATTTGCATGTTCTGTTTGGAGAGGTGTCTATTTAGGTCTTCAGCCCATTTTTTAATTGTGTTCTTTGTTCAGTGGTATGAGTACTCTACGTATTTTGGAAATCAACCCATTCTTTGATGTATCATTGGCAAATATGTTCTCCCATACAGTGGGTTTTCTTCTCATTTTGATGCTGGTTTCGTTTGCTGTCAAGAAGGTTTTGTTTGAAATATATGCATAACCAATGGATACAGGTATAAGTGAGTTGAAGGCAGGGCTGTGGGTGGGCATGGGGGGGCTAGGATGTCAAAGAAGGAGAAAAAGGAGGGACATCTGTAGTACTTTCAACAATAAAGATAAAAAGAAATAAGGAAACCAAAGACAGAGAGAGACAGAAAGAGACAGAGGGAAAGAGAGGTCCCCTGCGCTGTAATTCAGAATCCTGGGGTAATTTGGGTCTGCCCTGACCTCTGTGACCTTTTTACCCACAATTCTTACTTTCCCATCCCCAAGACTGCACAGTGGAGAATCTCATCCGGATATGTGTGGCTGGATTGGTCCTGGTGGTGCTTGGGGTGCTGCTATTTCAGGCTCAAACCAACCAGCAAAGGACCCATGATGCAGCCAGGACTTAAACACAGCAGGAACAATGCACCATTCACAGAGGGGGAGCCTTGGAGCACCTGTGATGATCCAGGAGGCAGTAAAAGGAAGCATGGACCGTGAAGAATTGGGAACATTGTACCCTGAGGGTGTCTGGGGCAGTGAACACCGTTTGGGTGCAGAAAATGTCTGAGTGCTCCCAGGACAGGACTCTTTCTCCATTAAATGTGTGTTTTCTCTCCTTATTGTGGTGAACTTTCTGGGAGGACATGACTTTTTCTCTACACTTTGACTTGATGGTCCATCCCACATGGTTGGTGAGTGTCCACACCTGTCAAATCTCATGCTCTCCTAAACCGTTCTTTGATGCAATTTTAAAATTTATATTCACCACATCACCAGAGAGACATTACTGAGTTTTCGTCTGCCCTGTCACAGGACGTTATTTGGATGCAATTACTGAGTAAAAGGGTAAAATGAGAAACAAGCCTGGAATGATGAACCCAATGTAATGCCTACCACCAACCGCAGGCCCTGCGTTCCATCATCTCTAGCCCAGCGCCACCAATCTCATTTTCCAGAAATGTTGTCCCTGAGAATCAACACATGTATGCTTTAAGGGACAGTCTGCGGAGTGCTGCCCCTGATAAAACATTTCTAGATAACTTATTGGTGGCATTTGAATATATATATATATATAAATTGAAATACTATTTAGCCATAAGAGAGAAAGAAATCCTACCATTTGCGATAACACTGATGGACATTTAGAGCTCTATGCTATGTGAGATAAGTCAGACAGATGAAGACAAATACTTAATAACCCCTCATAGATGTGACATCTAAGAAAGCCAAACCCAACTCATGGAATCACACAGTGGAAAGGTGGTTACCACAGGCAGGATGGGGAAATGAAGAGACGTTGGCCAGGAAGTATGAACTTCCAGGTATATGTTCAACAAGTTCTGGAGGGTCTCATGTGCAGCATGGTAATTACAATGAAAAACCATGTATTCTATACCTGAAAGTTGCTAAAAGAGTGACCTTTAAATGTTCCGACCACAATTAGGACTTGTTAGCTAAAGCCTGAGAGGCTTAGTCATGCTTTAAAGGGTAAAGGCAAAAGCTTGCAAAAGGTGAAAACTGTGAAAAAAAATGTGTTGCTTGCATGACCTTTGCTCAGCCTTCTGCAGAGTACAAGTAAGAATTATCTGGATTATCCACAAGACAATGGATCACCCAGCAGATGCAGGACGAGACACCAGACCAGTCCAACTGCAAAGTGGACAATGGGCCAGGCAGAGCACGTCAGCAGAAGCTGCTGGAAGCTAGAAGTAGAGTATAGAACCTACACTCCAACTGTTATTCGTTGCTGAACTCTTTTCGGAACAGCCTGCCTGCACCCAGGCACAGGCAATAAAGTCATTTTGTTCTACGTTGATCTTGTGTTGTGGATGTGATCTCCCACCAGCTCGGACCTTTCCATGCCAAGGTGGTATCTTTTTCAATATTTAACTATAAAAGCCACACATTGTCCCCTAACACTTACACAATGTAGTAGCTCAATTATATTCCCGTAAAGCTGACAAAAATAGTTTCCAGTCCTAATGTAAAAAAAAATAATAATAATAACCTGGAGAGTAGAACAGGCAATAGACCTGATGATAAGATTCAATATGTTTTGAATTGTTAATTTAATAGTTAATGTAACATTAGAGCAGCTATTTGCAAGATCCCAGTCCCTGACTTGAAGTAAAACAAATTTCACTTTGCCACACACACAAAAAAAGAAATGTGGGAAAGTTTACAAAACAATCTAGCTACCAATGTGTTCATTTAACCAATATCTGAGTGTCTGTGCATCTGGGGGTCAGTCAGTCCGTATCCATCCATCCATCCACCTATTTTTCCAACTATCTATCTCCATCAGTCAATCAAGCTCTCTGGTCTCAGATGCTAATAAAATTAATTGCTCTTCTCTTAAGCTACCCAGATAGTTGTACTTTGTTGTGGCAAAGTTACCAAGTAAATTTTCTCTCTTTCTCTCTCTCTCCCCCTAACTCAACAGCATTGACTCATACACAAGAAATTTAAATAAAACAACACAAAACAGATAATGTAGGTTTTGTTCTTGTCTTGCAATGCAGAAGGAAAGTGTCCACTTTGACGTTGCTTTTTGGGGGGACAGAGCCAAAAATATGTGACTGGTACGAGGCCTAATAGACATTAGGTGTGAGAGAGATTTCACATTTCTCCTGAGAATTATTTTATATCATGAACCATTTTGTACATTACGTTGGCCTAGAAAAAAAAATGAATACTATAAACCTACTCATTGTTATTAGTTTCCAAAGGCAGCAAGCTATTTGAAATTCAATAGGACCTGGGGTTTATTACACTAAGTGAAATCAGAGACCCAGAGAACGGCAAATACCATACAATCTCACTAATATGTCTTTGTTTTTTATCCTCACCCGAGGACATTTTTCCATTTTTTGTTCAGATAGAGTGGGAGGGAGAGAGAGGGAGAGAAACATCAATGTGAAAGGGACACATCAAGTGGCTGCCACCCACACGACCCAACCAGGGCTGGGGACAAACTGCAACCAAGGTACGTGCCCTTAGTGGGAACCTAACCCAGGTCTCTCTGGACCTCAGGCCGACGTTCTAACTGCTGAGCCAAACCAGCCAGGGCAATCTCACTAATATGTAAAATGCAATGAACAAAATAAAAGACGCGTGGGTATGTGAAACAGACTGACAGAGGTCAGGAAAAAGGCGGGTAGGGAGGGACAGGATAAAAGAAGGTGAATAAATTAGGCAAAGAACATATACCCATAATCCATGGACACAGGCCTCAGTGTGGTGAAATCCAGGGGAGAGGGAGGCAGGGTATAGGTGGAGGGGGGTGGAGGGCTGGAAAATGGGGGGCATCTCTAAAAGTGTCCAAAATATATTGAAAATGAATATGTGGTTGTCGAGTTTAGGAAAACCAAATGTGAGAATTTAGACGTGAGGCCTGTTTAAGGATGTGGCTCAAATGAGACCCTTAGCACCTGCTTCTTTAGGGTGAGAAGAGCTGGGTCTCTTCCTGTGTGACAAGCACCATGTACACTCCACACACTGGTGTGGGGATGCTGCCCGCCACATCCTGTAGGTTAGTCTCCTGAGCTTCACTTTGACGACTGAAGAATAAATCATCAGGCGCTCTGCTATAAGAATGTCCACTGGAAGGTCACTCCTCTTCCTGCTGTATGAACGACACGAGCCTCACACTGCAAAGTAAATTCAGAGTTGTCGTCCCAGAATCCACCTGTCAAGACAGCTCACTGACCTTCCAGAGGTCGTGCAGATGCAGACCTGGTCCAGCCTTGACCAGGAATGTGCATGTGTATCTAGGAGGTTTTCCTTAAGACCACAGACCTTCGCCCTGGCCGGTTTGGCTCAGCGGTTAGAGCGTCAGCCTGCGGTCAAGAGAGACCCAGGTTCGGTTCCCGCTAAGGGCCTGTACCTTGGCTGCAGTTTGTCCCCGACCCTGGTTGGGTCGTGTGGGTGGCGGGCACTCGATGTGTCCCTTTCACATCGATATTTCTCTCTCTTCCTCTCTTTTCTTCCCGCTCTATCTGAGTAAAAAATGTCCTCGGGTGAGGATAAAAAAAAAAAAAAAAAAAAGACCACAGACCTTCCCTGAGTCTGCCCTGTTTTACATGTTAATCCTGAGAGATCATGTGAATTCGGCACTGGGTCACAGACTGCTCTGCCCACCTAGAGGGGACGTAAATATGAGTATGTGGATTACATGCGTTTTCTGTTGCGTATTTTTATAGGTCTCTATTTTTAAATTGTTTACCTTCACTACAAATATATTTCAATGTTGTACAGACATTTCATCCTCTTGGTGTGTTCAGCCTCAAGAACATATTCCACAGAATAAACAAGAGCTCATTTACAAGAAATAACAGGACTTCCCTGGCAGGTTTGGCTCAGCGGTTGGAGCGTCGGCCTGCGGTACAGAGAGACCCGGGTTCGGTTCCCGCTAAGAGCGCATGCCTTGGTTGCAGTTTGTCCCCAGCCCTGGTTGGTCGTGCGGGTGGCAGCCACTCGATGTGTCCCTTCACATTGATGTTTCTCTCTCTCTCTCTTCCTCACTCTCCCTCCCGCTCTATCTGAACAAAAAATGGAAAAATGTCCTCGGGTGAGAATAAAAAAAAAAAAAAGAAAGAAATAACAGGATTATACAGTTCCTTTTGGCTCCAAGGACAGAGACCCCTGGAAGTAGAGTAGCAATTGAGCTGAAGACAATAGCAAGACAAATCCACCTTGTTGAGGAGTTTGTATTTCTCTGACGAACTCATTATTTTAGTCTCAGAATAGCACGCATGTGTGGCTGGGAGGAATCTTTGCAAAGTTCTGCAAAAACACGTGAGGAGGATTGGTCATAATCCATGAAAGAAATATTCCTGTGTCATAATCCATGTCCTATTATAAAGGATGCAAAACTCTGCTGCGTGGGATGGGATATCTCCGTGAATGATCCTCAGAAACATGAAGGATGAAATAATCCTGGTATTTCCAGAACAGACCAAACCAGCCACTCAGCTCCCACCTTCTGAAGTAAATACCTTCTCGAAGACATTGTCAAAATTCACCAGACTGAAACATTTCAAGTTCAGGCTGTAAATGTCGAGAAGGTGGTTCTAACGTGTATATGAGAAAGCAAAAAAACAAAACGGGCCAGAACAATTCAGAAGAAAAACATAGTGGGAAGGGAGGGCTCATGGGGTCACGTTTCACATGTCCCCACAAAGCTTCTGAAGAAAAGGGGTTTGGGGAGCGGGCAGAGGACAGGCACATAGATTAATGGAATGAAATAGAGATCTTTAAATAAGCCTACACAAATAAAGTCAACTGAGTGTTGACGGTGGTGCCTAAAAAACCCAAGGGAGCAAAGACATTCTTCCCATCACATGTTGGGGGAAATTGGGGATCAAGGACTTTTTGGGTGCTCATTTCTACAACATGCCAGTAAGCAGTTTCCCTTCCACATCACTTCACTTCCCTTCACCAGTGTCTGTGGGTCCCGGTAGGGCCACACCCCTGTCATCCCTCAGTGTTTCTGCCTTCATATTTCACCCATTTTGTATTTGTATTGGTCCCAGGCTGGGGGTTCATGTCCACTTCCTGATGAATTGTGAAGTTGAGGAATATTTCAAGGATAAGCATGCACGTAGGTTGCACGTTACAGTATTTGCTTGTGGTGGGAATGCAGACTGGTGCAGCCACTGTGGAAAACATTATGGTGTTGCCTCAAAGGGTTAAAAAGTGAGCTGCCATTTGACCCAGTGATCCCACTTCTAAGAATATACCCTAAGAAACCTGAAACACCAATCAGAAAGGATATATGTACCCCTATGTTCCTAGCAGCTCTATTTACAGTAGCTAAGATCTGGAAACAGCCCAAGTGTCCATCAGTAGACGAATGGATAAAAAAGCTGTGGTCCATGTACACAATGGAGTACTATGCAGCTGTAAGAAAGAAAGATCTCTTATCCTTTGAGAAGACATGGAGGGACCTGGAGACTATTATGCTAAGTGAAACAAGCCAAGCGGAGAAAAACAAATCTCACATGATCTCACTTATTTGTGGAATATAATAAACTAAACAAACTGCTGAACAAAATTAACCCAGAAAAAAATAGAGGTGGGATACAGACTGACAAGCCTCAGAGGAGGGGGTTCTGTGGGGGAAGAGATAAACCACAGAACTTACTTGCATGCATGCATGACCAATGAACATAGACAACAAAGCTGGGGATGGCGTGGGGGGGCAGGGAAAGAGGGTGTCAATGGGGGGAAAGGAGAAACATCTGTAACACAAACAAATTAATAAATTAAAAAAATTGTTTTAAGTATTTGCTTGTTTTTCTAATGTTGCTGCTGTTATCTCAGTGATTTGTGGCTATTTCTTCAGCTTCTCAGCACCAGTCCCTTGTCTCAATTTGGCATCACAAATGTGCCCCATTGTGTGGTTTTCTTTTCACTCATTACTGGGTGTCTATGGGAAACCGTTCTTATTTTTAGTGAATTTCAATTTACTAAATTTTCCACTCAGTTCATGCTATGGTAGCCTTTCAAATAAACCTTTACTTTCACAAGGCTATAAAAATATTTGTCTATATTTCTGCTAGAGAAAAATAATGGGTTCATTCTTCACCTTTTCATCCGCAGCTCATCTGGCACTAATATTGCGCGTGATACGAGGCAGGCAGGAAAGTTGGCCTTGTTCCACAGACTCACCAGCTGGTCCATCACCACGTGAGGGAGAGACCAGGATCCGCCCCCTGCACTGCAGGCATCTGTCTTGGTCCAGGTGACTCCACATGAATGGTCAGAACTGGGTTCTTTCCTCTACTCCATTGGATGAAGTATCTCAGCTATTTCATTTCTCAAAGCCCTAACAGCTCCATCGAAATAGAATAACTGGTTTTCTTTCCCTCATATCTCCCACCACACGTGCAAGGGAGCTAAAGATGAAGGAAGTGAGACTAAGAGAAAGAAGTGAGCTGCTCAAGGGTCGGTCAGCCATTTGGGATGTGGTGGTGCCAACAGCTGATATTCAATGTGTATCTGTGTGAAAAAAAAAAAATGAACTTTATAGGAAGTGATCATCTATTACTTCCAAAATAAAGAGTGCGTCTTCAAAACTACACAGGAAACATAAAGATATAGGGATAATCTTTTTAAAAGGGTGCCTCTGTGTGTGTTTCCTGTCTTCAGACAGATTCTCAGAATGTCGATTCCGTGTGAATCCCGAAAGGTCTCCACGGTTTGAAGAGGAGAGTGACACCCAGCTTCAAAGGGGCTCTGAGAAGGCAGACATGACTCAAATGATTTACCCCCAAGGAGAGGGAGAGAGAGATTTCTCTGCTCACAGAAAGAGAAAGTCAGGCAAGGACAGTCTGAGAAGGACGACCTGGGTTCCAGGACTCGAAAGAAGAGCTGAGTTTTCCTGTGGAGCAGAAGCATATGTTACAGGACCCCCAGCTGGTCCCTCCCCCACCCCTGGGCTCCCTGTGTCTGAGGGCACCTTGTTGTCTCCATCAGCAAGGCAGGAAGGGAAGGTCAGCCTTAGCACCCGCGAAGGTGGTCGGCAACTTTCCAAACTTCCTGGGTTCTGAGCTCCACCCCCTCACTCCCTTCCGCAGGTCACCCCTCACATTGTTCTTTCCAACTTACATTTCAGAGTCTGTCCACTTTCTGCTCTCTATCTCTCCATGGTCCTCTCTGTCTTCGGGGTAAATCCAGACTCTTCTCTCTGAACTGGAGGCGGCTCGTGGTCGTCCAGATGTGACCCTCCGACCTCCGCTCTCACTTCCTCTTCCCTCACCCAGACACGTGCAGTTACCCCGTGAACACACATCACACGTACACACTCACACCCTCTGCTGCTGACCAGATCGGTGCTCTCCTACAGTTCTACAGAACTAGGAAATCCCCTCCCGGTCTCGGCTAAAAGCACAGACTAGAACAGGCACTCGGGTCCCATCTTCTCATTCCTCTTCATTGCTTGTATTTCTGACCTAAGCGCTACGTGAAGGTTGCGAGGCAAATCCATGGAAGTCGTCCATGTAACAGGGTTGAAAACACACGAACTGGAGTTCAGTTACGATTGATATTATATTTTAGTTCATACATTGCACGTCTCTAGTTCATATGGTCTTCCAACCTCGGTCTGGCCATCACAGTCCATTCCTATGTATTCCTTTGCCTTATACACACAATCCCACCTCCTTCCATGGGGGGAGCACACCCATGATCAACCACCTCCTCACCTTCTCTTACTGTTGTTCAGTCTCTGTATCTCTAGGGTTCTCTAGAATGTTCTCTCCTCGAAGAACATTCTCACTCCCACCGCTAACGATTCCACGTCTTAACACAGCCATTACTTCAGCTACAGTCCAGTCATAGACCCAGTTGTTCTCATTGTTTCTCTTATTTCTCCTTTCTATAAAAGGTAATGGCAACATCAGCCTTAGCATGCCCACTGTCCTAACAGGAGTTCTCAAGATGCAGCAAAGGAGTCTCCAGAATCACAGATACAGTTCTGGTTCTGGCCCAAATACTCAGCAGGTCCTAGATGAGTACATACTATTCATGGGCATGTGAAAGACCAGAAGTGGATTCCAAATGAGAGAGGCTGTGAAAATCAAAACTAACTGTTATTTGGTGGTTCGACTCAGGACAAGAACCATGGTCTTGTTGTGTCTGAGCAAAAGTACCAACCAGACAGAGTCCCGGGGGTCAGAAGAGCCCACATATGGGTACTGGGTGTCTCCAGAGGTCCTAGAGTCCTCCTGTGCCCTCATCATGGAAAGTCTCAGAGCTACGGCTAGAATGGGGTCGTCCTCCTTGTTGTGGGTCCACAGCTGAGCCGACCCGGAAGGCGGCAGAAGCTCCTGACTCGCCACATCCTGTGCGTCACTATTTTTCAGCCCAAGGGTCCCGTCCATCTGCAGAGCACTCAGAGCAGGTGCCATGACGTCTCTCCTCCCGGCTCTTCTCTGCCTCGGTCAGTGGTGGACGTGGGGAGAAGGAGGAAGAAGGAGGTGGGGAAGACTACACCCTTGTTCATGGGAACCCCAGAGCTCAGATGGCTCCACCGGAAGGGGGCCCTGAGGAAGGAGAATCAGCTGAGACATTCGGGTACAAATCTCTGACTGGGTCTCTCTTCCAGGGCTGAGTCTGGACCAGAGGATCCACACGCAGGCAGGTGAGTCCTCATCTGGCTCCATGTCCACCTCTTACTTCTCCCCTGGGGTCAGGACAGAGCACAGAGGCTCTGGGATGAGGTGGTGAAATGAGAGGGCCTTTGGATGAGCTGAGGGATTGGGTTTGGGAAGGTATTTCTGATTCAGTTTCTGGTTTTCCTCCAGGGACCCTCCCCAAACCCACCCTCTATGCTGAGCCAGGTTCTAGGATGCCTCATGGCAGCTCTGTGACCCTCTGGTGTCGGGGGACCACAAAGGCCCAGGAGTACTGTCTGCATACAGATGACATGTCTACGTGCTCGGACAGACAGAAACCGCTGGAGCCTGGGGACAGGGCCAAGTTCTTCAAAAAGGAAATACTTGCAGAAAAATATTCCTGTACCTACCACAGCCCCACTGGCTGGTCAGAGCCCAGTGACACCCTGGAGCTGATGGTGACAGGTGAGGGGACACTCAGGGGTCCCAGCCTCAGGCTCTGCCCTCAGGAAGGGGCTGCTCTCAGGGCCTCTGCCCTCTCACAGCCCAGCCCTGGGGGACACGAGGGAGGTGTGACCCCATTTAACATACTCCTTCTATCTCTCCTAGGAGTCTATAGCAAACCCAGCCTCTCCGCCCTGCCCAGCCCTGTCGTGACCTCAGGAGGGAACGTGACCCTCCAGTGCGGCTCAGGGGAGGGATTTGACAGGTTCATTCTGACTAAGGAAGGAGAACACAGGCCCCCCTTGACCCTGGACACACATCCAGATCCCAGTGGGCTATCCCGAGCCCTGTTTCCTGTGGGCCCCGTGACCCCCAGCCACAGGTGGACATTCAGATGCTATGGCTTATTTAAGAAACACCCCCAGCAGTGGTCTGACCCAAGTGACCCCCTGGATCTACAGTTCTCAGGTGAGGAGCCCCTGACCCCTTCCTTCTGAACACAGTCAGCTCAGGGCCCTGTCCCCAGGAGACATGTGAAGCTGGATGGGAGTGAGGGGCTCTGAGGATGGTCACCCAGCAGAGATCTGCCCCTCAGAGATGCTCTCACATCTGCCCACTTCTCCCTGAGGCCTGAATTCGGAAGGTGGTGTGTGGCCAGGGGCTGTCTCATGGGGAGACACAGAGCACATGTAGGAGAAGAGATGGAGGGTTTGGGAACTCCAGGGTTAGCCCCAACCCCTCACTCTCTTGTATCCTCATTTCCAGGACCCACTGTGGGCACCAGCTCCCCACCCACAGAGCCTATCTCCGCAGCTGGTGAGTCACTGGGACTCTGCTCAGAGGGAGCACAGAGCACCCAGGAAGTCCTGAGGGGCTATCAGGGGATCTAACATCAATCAGATACTCAAGGATGGGCTGGTGTTCCAGGGGGCTGGGAGTCCCTGGGCTCTGAGGCTGGCAGGTAGCTGGTGGGGTGGTCACGGCAGAGGGAGATGCTGGGGCCCACGCTGGGGGAAGAGAAGCAGAGCTCAAATGGGGAGAAGGCAGCCCCACCCCTACCACACGCCCTGATCCCCAGGAAGCTCTGAGGGTTTGTCCCACTTCCACACGGAGTCAGGCCTGCAGAGGTGTAAGGGAGGTGAGGGTCTCCGTGGGGAGGTGGTGGGTGTGTCCATGGGGGACAGGGGCTGAGTCATGAGGGGTTCAGGCCCCTCTGGAGACACTGACTTGGATGCGCCCTTCCCCTGTCTGGGCCTCAGGGTCCCCAAGTGTAAAAAGAGAGATTCATGGCTCAGAGCTAAGATTTCCTTTCAGTTCTGGTTCTGACCTCCTGGAGGAGGGGGCCTCACAGGGACACCCAGGACATGGTGTGGGGACTGTCCCCTCTGCAGCAGTGATGGTGACATGCACAGGGAGGGGCAGGCAGGACCAGGGTCTGGGGCATCCAGGTCCTTTCCCTCAGCCCAGGCTCAGCTCAGAGGAGAGAGGGCTGGAGTCAGACCTGGTTCAGTTCCCAGCTCTGCTGCTCCTGCTGTGGGGTCAGGTGGTTCCTTATCTTCCCTGAGTTTTGGGTCATGTCTGTCCATCCCGGGTCCCCTCCTGCTCACAGGCTGCTGTCAGATTAGGTGACATAAGGGGCCCCACAGAGCTCAGGAAGGGAGAGCCCCAGCCCAGCCCACCTTCCTAGGGGGCATCTGCAGGGTGGAGATGGATCCAGGGGAGACACAGAGGCCACCCCACACCCCTGCCCCTCCTGTGTCCCTGCTGTGCTGGGGGTGGGGAATAAGGAAGGACCCTCAGCTCAGATGAGACATGGACAGGCCCCTGCAGATGAGGAGCCCAGAGCACAAAGCTGAGGTCCCTCTGGGGCAGCATGAGGAGAGCACATGGCACCCACAGTCTCGGGTTCCAGTCCCAGCCCTGCCCCTTCCAGGCTGGGTGACCTGGAGCAGATGACTCACCTCTCTGAGCCTCAGTGACCTGGGTGATGGGGCACCGTCCCTGGTGCATGACTGTGTGAGGGGAGAGGGATGAATGACAGACCCCAGCAGGTCCCTCACACACAGCAGGTGCTCAGTAAATGACATCATCGGCTCATTCCTGACATCGCTCGTGCCCAAGGTCTCCCATCGTACCTGAGAGTCGTGACTGGGGTCTTGGTGGCCTTCTTCCTGGTGATCTCCCTTCTCCTCTTCCTCCTGCTTCGACACCAGCGTCAGGGCAAAGGCAGGATGTCTGGTGAGTAGAAAATGGTGTGACCTGGGTCACACAAGGTGGGGTTCAGAGCAGCTGCCACAGGAAAGCCTAATAGCTGGAGGTCAGCTGAGTAAAAGATTTCTCACATCAAGAAATCTATACAGAAAACACTCCACTTCAGCGCAGATGTGATTAATCTTCCATCGTTTTCAATGTCATGAACTGCGAAACATACGCACAGTGTGTGCTAAGGTTTCCTTCTTTCCTGTGGAGTCGCACGGGGAGGGGGCTCCTGACCTCCCAGGGCTGGCGCTGTCCCCCTTGCCCAGCCCAGAGAGAGGCTCGTGTCCAACCTCCTGCAGGGGCCACAGACCCAGAGCCCAAAACCAGAGACCTGCAGATCGATAACCCCTGCCCTGAAGACGGCAGACGTTCACCGACCATGCTCCCACTTTGCCCTTAAGACTTCGGTCTCCTGCCCCAGCTCCATCCCACTGTGGACGCCCAGGAAGAGCCCCTCTGTGAGAGGAAGAGATAGCTGCCTGGGGAGGGGGACAGCTGTCTGAGAAGTGGATGGGAGAGGGTTTGGATGGAAGGGTGTTAGAGTCAGGGGTGGGAAGAACTGAAATCCACACTGGGTGACTTTGTGTCTCATCATTCCCCTGGGTTAGTGGCCCATCTGGGAGCAGGTGGGGTCTATAGCCCTGAGAACTTGGGGACCTAGTAAGGAGACTCACCCTGTTTGCCCCAGCAGATGCTGCCATGAAGGACCCACAGCCTGGGGCGAGCGTGGAGCTGGACTCTCAGGTGAGACCCTGCTTCTGTCCAGGCACCAAGGACCTCATGTTGCCCAGTTTAGCCAATGGACTCTTCCCTGTCCTCACATCACCTGGTTCTCAGCAGTGTCCACACTGACCTCTGCTTCTGGTCACCCAGGTCGTCCTGCTGTGACTCACTGCTCCTGGTTTCCTTGTGACCTCATGACCCCTCCTCTGGGGTCCCCTTTGCTGGCTCCTCGTCCTCTGTCTGACCCTGTGCAGCCCCAGAGCTCAGGAGGATGAATGAATAAGTGAATCCCCCACAGGTCCCCAGGATCCCCTCTTTCAGTCCCCCAGCAGATGTGATGGGGAGCCCACTGTTCACAGCTCCATTTAGGTGCCGCGGTGCAGCCCTGAGCAACACTGTCTCCACCCCCCTCGAGCTCACCTGTGGGTGAGGGGGACAGTATGCAAACAAGTGACAGTGTCCCAGAGAGCAAAGTGCTGTGAAGGGAAATAAAGCAAAAGGAGGGGATAGAGTATGTGGTGGGAGGAGGAACAGAGGACAAAAGGTGCAAATGTCCTGAGGCAGGACAGGAAACTTCAGGAGGATGGGCCATGTCGCTGGAGACAGATGAGCAAGAGATAACATGTTAGGATAAGAGTCAGAACCATAGAAGCATCCAGATGCCCCAAGACTTAGGAAGTCCCAGCTGATTCCATCAGGAGAGGGAACTAGTGTCATTTAAAGTGTAAATCATCACTCCAGCAACATGCGGATGATCGAGAGGAGGATATTACACTGAAATCAGGAGACACTGTTTCTGTCCGTCTCTCCCACAGAACAGGCACAATGACCCCCAGAAAGTGACATGCACCCAGGTGAACCACCCAAGATCAAGACTCAGTCAGGGAATGGGCACCTCTACTTCCTCTTTGAGGGAGGGATGGCTGGACATGAAGGGCAGACAAGCAGACGAGGACAGACAGGTGGACAGTCAAGTGGGTTTCATCCCCTCCACACATGCAGGATTCCCCCAAACTCAACCATGTTTTATTTCTCTCACTCTCCCCTCACTGCAGGCTGCTGCATCTGATGCCCCCCGGGACTTAACTTACGCCCACCTGAACCTCTTGGCCCTCAGTCAGCAGACCAATGCACCCCCTTCCTGCCTGCCAGGGAGCCCAGATGAGCCCGTCGTGTACGCCTCTCTGGCCACCCACTAGCCCAGGAAGGACCCAGACCCCACACTCCAGGAAGGGGGCTGGAGGGACCCCAGAAGACATGGGAGCTTCCCCCATGGACACTCAGCTACTGACCCAATCAGCGTAAACACCTGAGGTGACCACTAAAATCTCCTGGGACCCTCAGGGAGTCACCTGATTCTATACCCAAACGTAGCCAATATTCCTAATTTTGGAAATAAAGCAACAGACTTTCAATAATCATTGTGCGAACAAAGACAGATGTGAATGTTTTCACTTAAATGATCATGTAAATCTCACACACCACACCTATGAAATGGGAAAGTTAAAAACCATGAATGAACATCTTACCAAATGAAAAGGCTTAAATAATCAAGGGCCTACGCAGTTATTCAAGGATTTAGGAATGAGGTTGCATCGAATCTTTAGATCCACAGATGACTGGATTAGAAAGATGTGGCATGTGTGCAAAATGGAATAGAAATCAGTCGTAAAAAGTGTGAAATCCTGCCCTTAGCAACAGCATGGATGGACCTTGAGGCTATTGTGCTGAGTAAAATAGTTCAGATGGAGAAATATTTCCTTTATATCTGGAATGTTTAATATCATCAAAACAAACAGACAAAAACAAACTTTTAGAAGTAAGAGCCAACTGGTGGTTGTCAAGGGGAGGGGCTGGGTGGGTGGATAGAAAGGGGGAGAAAGTCAATAACATGCGATAGCTTTGCAGGGAGACAGGTGGTTCCCTGACTCTGTGAGGGGGGGAGGTTCTGAGATAAATATCAAACCTGTGCTGAACACCTGAAGCTCATAGGATATTGAGCGTCAGCTCGACTCTAGTACAAAGATTCAACTGAAAATTATTAGGAAAGGGATAGCAAACTTCTATAAAGGAAGGTGTCGTAGAAACATGATATGGATGGGAGTAGGTACCACTGGGAATAACCACCAGAAAAATCTACAGAGACAGAACATTCCTTCTGGAAGCATTAATCATACCCCTAAATCTTAGCCTGAAAGACCAAGAAAAAAGGGAGAACACACACGTTTCTAACAGAACAGATGAAACAGCAGAAACCACAACACCGTGCACAGACTGAAAAGATAGTAGTAGGACATCGTGAACAATGGGACGCCAACCCATTAGAAAATGCAAACGTAAACTTGACTAAACGAACATGAGGAGAAGGAAATCTCTACCACCCTCTATGTAGATTAAATGCAAAAATTCTCCAAGCTGAAGTCCTGTGCAGGTGGTTGCATGGGTGACTTCTTTCAAACACTCATGAAGCGCACACACACATACACACACACAATAACACAAACTTTTCTTTAAAAGAAGAAGAAGAAATACATCCTAACACGTTAAAATAAAAGATTTTTAAATTGGTTTTTAGAGGGAGAGGAAGGAGGAGGGAGAGCACAGAGAGAAATGTTGACGTGAGAGTGATCACCGCAGAGTCTCCAACCTGCCCCTGTGTTCATTGCCCCGGGACACCTGCCCGGCTCCTTCATGACCAGGCTGAACACAGACGTCATCATCACCTCATCTCAGGCAGGGAGGAGACTCAGAAAGGAAAAATACCTGCTCCGGGCTGAGAGTCCACCCACGTCACAGCTCTAATTTCAATTAAACTCAGAATCGCCTCTCAGCCAGGGAACTCAACAGAACCCAGTGTAAGAAGCAGAGGGCCACCCAAGAGCAAATGGGCCCAGAGGAGGCAGGGATGGCCCAGATGTTCTGAAAGAGAAAGAGAAAGCAGGTCCTATTGGTGGAATGAGGAAGTTACTAAGGAAAAGTGTGAGGGGGAAAGAGACCAGGCCAGGAGAAAGAATTTTTTTTCTTTTTTCAGAAATGTATTTATGGTTGCCAGGATTACAGATGACCCCCATCAACCCTCCTTTGCCTCCCTCCATTCCGTGGGTGCCCCACCCCATGCCTGTGCACAGTATTCCCTGTGTCAGTGGGATGTGCATATTGCATATATGTACTTTGGTTAAAGTCTTTTCTTACTCCCTCCCCCCCCCTCCTCCCCTCTGTGGTCTGACAGTCTGTTTCATGCAGCCACGCCCTGGACCGACTCTGTTCATCGGTTTATTTTGCTCATTAGATTCCATATCAGGTTTCGGAATTAGGATAATGCCGGCCTCATAAAGAGAGCTCGGCAATCTTCCTTCTTCTTCAGTTTTTTGGAACGGTTTGAGGAGGATACGTTTAAGTTCTTCTTGGCATGTTCGATTACACTCCTGTGAAGCTGTTCGGTCCAGGACGTTTGTCTGTGGTAAGTTGGCTCTTGTTTCTCACTGTTTCAGTTTCATGAGTTGTTATCCGTCTGTTTAGGTTTGGGGACTCTTTCCTGGCTCAGTTTCGTAAGATTGTATGTTGCTAGGAGTGTGCCGTTTATGCCCAGGTTGTCCGATTTGTTAGCAAATAGTTGTTTTCATATTTTCTTACAATCTTTTGTATTTCTCATAAGAGAAAAAAGTGCGAGAGAAAAAGTAAAAGGGAAGAAAAAATATTTAAAATATTAAAAAGATATTAAAAAATATTAAAAAGATACGGAAAAGAAAGCCAGAAAAAAAAACTGTATTAAAAAAAAAAGAAAAGGAGAGGGAATAAAGTTAGAAAAGGAAAGAGAGAAATAAGAAGTATTAACGAAAATAGAGAAGAAAAATGCAACACAACAACAACAGAAAAGAATAAGATAGGATGAAAAGGGGGAAAGGAAGCTCGTTGGATCCTGCTGCAGTGATGTTCAAACCTGCTCATGTGCACTGCTGGTCCCTGACCTCCAGGATCCGGTCCAAAGCTACAAGCGACCCACAGTCTGTGGCTGCCTCTGCTGGTCGTGGCTGTGCCCAGGGAAATCCAAGCTGCGCTACAAAGCCTGTTTTTACCAGCACCGAACCCAGCGGCTGGCCAGCAAATACCCTAAGTCTCCCAGTAACTGTCTCCAATTGCCTCCACCTACTGGCTGGCTGCCAGGCTTAGACACCGGAAAGGTTTAGCCTCTGGCAGAACCTCTGGTGCAATCAGGTGGATGTTCTTACTGCATTTCCCGTGAGGGGAGGTGCCATTCAAACGTCATGGCAGGTAGTGGCTGTGTTTCCCCACCCCCACGCCATGCGTCAGCCCTGGATGATTCCCTGACCTCAACCATGTGGAACCCCGAGGAGCCAGTGGGTGGAGCCAGACCTTGGGTCTGTAGGAGGCTGGGGGGGTGTGTGTTTCTATCAGGTCTCTTGTGAGGTTCCCTGGAAAGTAGGGGCAATGGTCTCATCCGCAAGCCAGACACTGACAACCCCTGAGACTGTCCAGGTTTCTAAGCCCCAGCCTAAGCCACTGAGTCCTCAGCAGGGCTTAAAATGGAGGGGTGGGGCGAGCAGGATTTCAGAAGCCGGTCTGGGGACCCCAGTCTCACCTCCCTCCCTCTGCTGGTGCCATGGGTGAGTGACTGTGGACACAAGATTGGTGTTTGGCCTTTGAAATGCGTGGCTGTGATTCCAGTGACCTTCACCTCTCCTTGACAGACAGAAACCCTGAGGCCTTTCGCAGCTGGATGTTTTGTGGGTGCCTGCTCCTGGCTCTGGAGCTCTGGGCTGGGGAGCCTGGTCCGGGGACTACCTTCGTGCATCTCAGGGGGAACCTCCAGCAGCCGGGGTGTCCCTCTGTAGCCTCCACCTGTTGCCCCTGGGGGCAGGGCCAGCCCCTTTTATGCCTCCGCCCTCCTAACAGTCTCAATGTGGCTTTTGCAGACCTTGGTTAAAACTTTCCACTTCAGATAGTCTCCAGTTAGTATATCAGGGTCATTGTTCTATAACTTAGCTGTAACTTTCAGTTTGATTCAGGGAGGTGTTGCAGGCAAGATGCCCCTACTCTGCCGCCATCTGGAATCACTCGAAAACAAACAAAAAAAAAACTACTAATTATTTTTATCAAGATATAGTTGACATATAATATTATCTAAGTTTCAAGTGTAAAGCATTAAATGGACATTTAAGAATCTTAGGATGTGCTCCCCAGTGACCATTTGGCTTCGTGCAAAGTTATCACACGTTTATGGACTATCTTCCTTCTTTTTTATTTTCCAGGATTTAAATTTTTTTTACTAATTTGTTTTCGTTACAGATGTTTCTCCTTTTTTTCCCCCATTGATACCCTCCTCCCGCTCCTCCTTGCCCTATCCCCAGCTTTGTTGTTTATGTTCATTGGTCATGTGTCACTTCCCCTTTTCAACCAGCCCTCCCCCGTCTCCTCTGGCAACCATCAGTCTGTTCTTTGTTTCTATAAGTTTTTTTTTAATAGCATTCTTTTTTTAAAAAAATACTCTTTTTGTTTTGTTTTTTCGATCCTCGCTTGAGGATATTTCTTCATTTATCATCATATAGAGTGGGAGGAAGGTAGAGGGAGATGGGGAGAAAGAGAAATATCGACATGAGACAGACACATGGATCGGTTGCCTCCCACATGACCTGACCAGGACTGGGGACGAACCACACCCAGGGACATGCCCCTGACGGGAAGAGAGCCCATGACTCATTGGTCTGCAAACTGACACTCCAACCACTGAGCCAAACCGGTCCGGGCTCAAAAATAAATGTTTTTATTGACGTATTTTTGAGAGAGAGAGGAAGGGAGAGAGAGAGAGAAATATCGATGTGAGACAGAATCATCGATCAGCTGCTTCCTGCATGGTCCCCACTGAAGATCGAATCTGCATGGTGGGCGTATGTCCGGACTGGGAATTGAACCGGGATCTCTCAGTCCATGGAACAATGCTAAATCCACTAAGCCACACTGACCAGGCTACACAGACACATTTTAAATATTAATGGTGGCACTATCGTATCCGAAATGGTTGACGGACACTTGAGCCGCTTACTTCCTCTCGTGGCCTCTCTTCCCTCATCTGTACCTCAGTGATACCAACCCCACCCCCTCTACAAATGTGGTGAGAGTCCACCCAACCTGAGAGATAGGAGAGAGGACCCCAGTCACTCCATTTAGATGGAGATGTTGGAGCTTTGAGAAGTTGAAAAGCAGAGATGCCTCATCCAATGGAACAGAAGGAAGAACCCAGATCTGACCACTCGTGTGGGGTCACCTGGACCATGACAGATTCCTGCAGTGCAGGGGGCAGATCCTGGTCTCTCCCTCATGTGATGCTGGGCAAGTTGGTGAGTCTAGAGAACAGGGTTCACTTTCAGGCCTGCCTCGTATCACACACAAAATTGATGTCCGATGGGCTACAGATAAAAATGGGAAGAGTAAATCAATTACTTTTACTTTCGCAGAAAATGTAGAAAATATGTTTATGGCTTTGCAAAAGCAAAGATTTCTTTGAATGGCTACTACAACAAGAACTTTGGGGGAAACTTGGTACATTGGAATCCACTGAAAATGAGAACTGTTTCTCATAGACACCCAGAAGTGAGTGAAAAGAAAACCACACAATCGGACACCGCAGGAGAAGGCGTTTGCGAAGCCAACATGAGACAAGGAACTGGTACTGAAATCATCGAAGAGCTATCTACAAATCTGTAAGATGACAGCAGGTAATATTTGGAAAACAAGCAAATACGTTAACATGCAACTTACAAACACTGACATCCAATGTATGATTGTCTCTGAAATGTTCCTCAGCTTCATAATTTATCAGGAAGTGGACATAAACCCACAGCCTGAGACCAGTATATACACAGAGTGGGTAAAATATCAAGGCAGAAACATCAAGGGGTGATGTGGGTGTGGACCAGCCACGACCCACAGACATGGGTGAAGGGAAATGAAATGACGTGGCCACTCCGGGAAACTGCTTACTGGCATCTTATAAAAATGTGCACCCAGCCCTGGCCGGTTTGGCTCAGCGGTTAGAGCGTCGGCCTGCGTTCCAGAGAGACCCGGGTTCGGTTCCCGCTAGGGGCATGTACCTCGGTTGCAGTTTGTCCCCGGCCCTGGTTGGGTCGTGTGGGTGGCAGCCCCTCGATGTGTCCCTTTCACATCGATGTTTCTCTCTCTCTCTCTCCCTCCCATACTCTATCTGAACAAAAAATAGAAAACATGTCCTCCGGTGAGGATAAAAAAAAAAAAATGTGCACCCAAAACTGCCTTGATATCCAATTTTTCCAGCAACATTTAATAGAAAGAGTATCCTTCCTCCCTTATTTTTCTAAGCACCATTATTAAAGCTCAGATGACTGTATTTGTGAGGGTCTATTTCTGCATCTTTATTTTATTTCATTAACCTATGTATCTATCCTTCAGCCAGTCCTCAAACCTCCTTATGACAGGAGCTTTATTGGTAAGATCAGAAAGGTGATTACGTGAGTCCTCTCTTCCCACTGTTTACCTTCAGAATCGTTCAGGTTCTTTTTGGTTTTACAGCTTTTTCTTGAAATTGTAGAATCAGGTTGTCAATGTGTGAAAGCAGAAACTTGCAATGCTTCAACTTTGTGAAGTTTTTGAAAATGTCTCTGAGAAGGTACCTAGTTTAGAAAGTGGGAGTTGAGTGTCTGATTTCATCTGTCCTGGGAATACCAGGATTATTTCATCTTTCATGTTTCTCAGGATCATTCACCGTGATATTCCATCCCACTCAGAAGAGTTTTACATTCTTCCTAACAAGACAAAGATTGTGACACAGAAAAATGTCACCTTTTTAGGCTATGATCAATCCTCTGTGTGTGTTCTGCAGAAAGTTACAAGTAATCATCCCACCACTCATGCATCCTTTTCTGTGACTAAAATAATGTGTTCATGGGAGAAATACAAACTCCTTGACAAGGTGGCTCTATCTTATTGTCTTCCGTTCAGTTATACTCTGCTTCCAAGGGTCTCTGTCCTTGACTGTAAAATGAGCAATATGGTTTTCTTATATATTTTAAAAGAAGCCCAGGTTTGTTCTGTTGAATGTGTTCTTGGTGCTCAACACACCAAGAGGATAAAATGTCCATATAAGATAAAAAATAGACTTCTAGTGAAGGTAAACAATTTCTTTTAAAATATAGGCACACAATGCTATCTGAAGATGATATTTTGTCGAGTTCTACACTTCAAACATGTACAGTTGTGCCCTGGTCAGTTTGGCTCAGTGGATAGAGCGTCAGCCTGTGGTCCAGAGAGACCCGGGTTCGGTTCCCGCTAAGGGCATGTACCTCGGTTGCAGTTTGTCCCCGGCCCTGGTTGGTCGTGCGGGTGGCAGCCACTCGATGTGTCCCTTTCACGTCGATGTTTCTCTCTCTCTCTCTCTCTCTCTCTCTCTCTCTCTCTCTCTCTCTCTCTCTTCCTCTCCCTCCCTCCCACTCTATCCGAACAAAAAAAATGGAAAAATGTCCTCAGGTGAGGATAAAAAAAAACACCATGTACAGTTGTATTAACCTATAATGTCACTCTAATAAACTAAATAAAAATAAAATAATAGAAAAATATAGACCTCTAAAATATTTTAGTACAACATATGTAAATCATATAGTCATATTTCTGTGCCCCTTTTTATGTAAAATGTAAGCGATACTGGAAAGAGACATGTAGGTGCTTCTGGATTGGGGGGTGGAGCTGTCCACGACCCAGTGCTGAATTCACCACCCCGTCTCTGGATTAACAAATAGAACAGAATTAGGGGCCATGGTGGTGGTCCGTGGTCTTAAGAAAAACCTCCTAAATACACATGCACATTCCCGGTCAAGGCTGGACCAGGACTGGGTCTGCACGGCCTCTTGAATGTCGCTGACCTCTCCCGACTGGTGGATTCTGGGACGACAACTCTGAATTGACTTTGCAGAATCAGGATTGTATTGTTCATACATCAGGAAAAAGAGTGAGCGCTCAATGGAAATTCTTACACCAGAGCTCTTGCTGATTTATTCTTCAGTTGGTAAAGTGAAACTGAAGTCAAATTCACAGGATGTGGTGGGCAGTGTCCCCACACCACAGTGTGTACAAGGCGGAGGGTGCCTGTCACACAGGAAGAGGGCCAGTTCTCCTCACCCTGAAAAATATCAGGTGCTGAGGGTCTGACTTGAGCCACCTCCCTGAACTCTCATATTTAGTGTTTCCTAAACTCTATGATTCCATGTTGATTTTAACATAGCTTGCTGCCATGTGACAGTCACAACAATTATTCAGCTTTGGGTATTTAGTATTCTTGGGCCAAGCTAGTAGATAAAATGCCTGATGCTATAAAACAATGTTCAGAAGAACTATAAAATCACTCTCACACCCAGTATCTATTAGACCTTGCACGACTTTGGTGTTTTTCACTCTCCTGCCCAATAAAAAGCAGAGTGGACACGTTGGTTCAATGTTTCAAGAAGAGAAAAAAGTCTATGAGATCTGCTTTTTGGTTTTTGTTTTTAATAATTTCTTGTGCATGAGTTAAAACTCAGTTTCTTCTTTCAGAGGGATGAGATCCAGAGAGAGAGAGTGAGAGAGATCAATACATCTGGTAAGTTTGCCGCAACAAAATACAACTAACTATGTGGCTGGAGACAACATAAATAATTACTAGAGATGGAAATCTGGAGATAGGCAGGCAGGCAGGCAGGTAGGTAGGTAGATACATAGATATGCAGATAAAAAGATAGACTGACACACAGATACACAAACACAGATAGTAGGTAAATGGATACATCGGTAGCAAGTTTCCAAAACTTTCCAACAGTTGCTATCATCAGACTCCGTTACCTGTCCTGCTCACTAGGTAAGATTTTTACATCAAGCCTGGGGTAATTTTTCAACCTTTACTGAGATATAACGGACCTTATAACACTATGTAAGTGTCAATGTGTTGACTTGATACATTTCAATATCGCAGTATGATTTCACCATAGCATTAGCTAACAATTCCATTAAAAAATCACATAAGTGCACCTTTCTCTGTGATGAGAACATTTAAGATACACTATCCTAGAAACTACGGGGTATATAATAGAGTGGTGTTCACCGTAATCACCATGCTGTTGTACACGAGACCACCAGGGTGTGTTAATCTTATAAGTCAGAGTTGATAGTCCCTGACCAACATTCCTCCTTTTCCCATGCTCCCTGTGGTCTGGCTCATTCGGTCTACTCTCTGTATCCACAAGCTTGGCTTTTTCAGATGCCACATATATGAGAGACCATTCAGTGTTTGCCTTTATCAGATTTATTTCCCTTAGCATAATGCCCTCGAGGTCCGTCAGTGTTATTGCCAATGGCAGAATTTCCTTCTCTCTTGTGGCTGAATAAAATGTCATTTAATATATATTCAGGAAGTGGCCAACCCCACCATGAGAGCATTCTGCAAGGGTTTTCTCAGAAGTACCTCTCCCCAGACTGCCCTGCAACCATCACTGTGCTGCTGCCAAGTGATGACATTTCTGGGGTAACAGCGCAGGGACCACCTGTCAAGAGAGAACGGATCGTGGGTCTAGGCGGTGCTTTGGCATCATTTTGAATTTTTATTTCCCAGGCTTGTATCTGATGTAGCCCATGTATTCAGTTATTAAGCCCAGGTTAACTGCTGCCATCTGAAGAGATAGAGAAACAATAACATCCATCTGGCAATGGAGTGATAATGATATTTTTGTCATTGACCCAGTTATTAATGACAGGAAGGGAGCCAAGGGAAAGCTGAATAGTACAGGGGGGCCTTTTGTGCAGCTTTGCCAGGAAGCTGAGGTTGAACATCCCCCAGGGAGCCACTGTGTATTCCCTGCCGATCACTGGGGGAATGGCCTAGAAAGGGGGAGAAGAGACGCATGTGCTGGATGACATGCGTAAAGTCTGAATGACACAGGAAAAGTACTTGCCTGTTAGTCAAACCTAGATCAGATCACTGGCCAGAGTAGTCATGGCTATGAAAACTGGAGAGAAAATTGAGATATTTGATCACCTAAACAAAAAAAAACTTGCTTTCTTGTGATCCTGGTTCTCTTGGGAATCTTGTTCTAGGGGGCACACTCTCTTGGTTCCCCTGCATCCACCCACAGGGTCCACAGCCATGTGGACTCCAGACAATGGAATGAAGGACTGCACCTAGCCTGATGCTGATGCAGCCACTCCGGGCAACAGTATGATGTTTCTTCAAAGAATTAAAATTGAACTGCCATGTGACCCAGTATTCCACTTCTAGAAGCATGAAAGAAACACCAGTCAAAAAGAATATATCTACTCCTACATTCATAGAAGCACTATTTACAATAGCTAAGATCTGGAAACAGCCCAAGTGTCCATCAGTAGACGAATGGATCAAAAAGCTGTGGTACCTATACACAATGGAGTACTATGCAGCTGTAAGAAAGAGAGTTCTCTTATCCTTTGAGACCACATGGAGCGACCTGGAGAGTATCATTCTAAGTGAAACAAGCCAAGCAGAGAAAGACAACCATCACATGATCTCACTTATTTGTGGAATATAATGAACTAAACAAACTGATGAAGAAAATGGACCCAGAGACATAGAACTAGGGTACAGACTGACACACCTCAGAAGAGGGCGTGGGGAATAAGGAAGAGATAAACCACAGAACTTATACGCATGTACGCATGACCAACGGACATGGACAACAAAGCTGGGAACTGGGTGGGGGGGATGGGGAGGAGGGTATCAATGGGGAAAAATGAGAAAGATCTGTAACAAAAATTAATGAATAAAAATAATAACAAAATTAAATAGTTTTAAAAATCATTCATCCTCCCATGCAAGTCTCAGAAAAAAATTTTTCTTGAGGTATGGTGGGGACCCCACCCCCAACACTCAGTGGGGAAAGGGATCCCCCAGTTCCACCCACTGCAATTAGAAATAAATACCATTTTATTACCTAGATGTGGAGGAGAGCGTGAGGCTTTTGCTGTGTGGACCCAAAGCAGCCGTGTGGGATGCACCCTCATGGGTGAGAAGAGAGGGGGGTCCTTACAGAACGTCGACCAGGATAGGGAGAGAAAGTGCACGCGGGATGGAGGGAGAGTCTGGTACGCGGAGAGCTGAGACATTCCCTGCATCCGATGCGTGTCTACTCCTGGTGCAGCCTCAGAGGACAGTTTCCCCACGTCATGGTCCAGATTCTCCTTCACCACCTCCTGGGTCCATCAGACGAGCTCCCCGACTCTAAACGGTGAATTGTTGCCTCTGTGTTCGCCTCCTGGCTGCAGCGTAGGGTCTCCTCTGACTGATTTGAGCTTGAAACAGCAGCACCCCGAGGACCACCAGGATCAAGCCAGCCACACCCATCCGGATGAGATTCCCCACTGTGTAGTCTTGGGTGGTTGAGGCTGGAGGTTGTGGACAAAGAGGTCACAGAAGTCAGGGCGGTACCGAATCACCCCAGCATCTCTGGCTGTCCAGCCAAGTCACCTGTCTTCCACTGGTGGGATTTGACCCTCTGCCCTCGGTCTGTGGCTGAGAAGTTTCCTACTCACCTCTCTGGAAGTCGGACTTGTTCTGTGATGGTCCCAGCATCCCAGCTGCTTCTGAGAAACAAACACACACAGTGTCCAGGTGAGGAGACGTGAGGATGCCTGTCCTGTCTTCTCTGATCTACACCGAGATCAAAAACTAATGATGCCCCTGTCACCCCCTTGAGACGAGCATCTTTGGTGTCTTATGTTGCATGGCATGTGGATACAAAGGTGCACATTGGGGTGCGTGTTGTCCTGAGATCAGGAACAGGAAGGAGTGAAGGGCTGTCTACCCTTTGGGTCCTCCACCTCAGGCGGCTCCTTGTGTCTCAGACCTGGGATCACGTATCACAGTAGAACCATGACAGCTACAGACGGGACAGGCTGAGTAACAACGGGTTCTGGGGGTTTCGCTGGGAGGCCTTGTTTCACAGAGGTCAGAGCCAGGACTCAAAGCAAACCTGAGCTCTGAGCCATGAATCTCTCCTCTTACACTAGGAGATACTGAGGCCCAGACGGGAAGGGTGCGTCCAAGTCAGCGAATCCAGAGGGGCCTAAAACCTCCTCATGACTCAGCCCATTTTTCATGGATGCACCCACCCCACTCCCAGCAGAGACCCCACTTTTTCCTCTGTGGGCCTGATTTCATCGGTGCACAGAGGGAGAGACTGATCCTTAGAGCCTCCTGGCGATCAGGATGGGGTGTGAGGGGTGGGGTCTGTCTTCTCCCTACTGGAGCCCAGCTCTACCTCCCCCAACCTGTCCCCAACACCTCCTCTGTCATCTGCCTCACTGCCCCTCTGCAGGCCTGATGCCCTGGTGTGGGGCAAATCCTCAGAGACTCTAGAGCCCTGGGGTTCCCCTGAAACCTTTCCTTGACTCCCAGCCCTCCTAGGTCTTGGCCTGTTTCTCCTTAAGATCTGAGGGGGTGTTCGCTCCTCTGAGAGACTTTGAACTTCACTGGGATGCTCTGTGCTCCCTCTGAGAAAAAAGCCCCAGGAACTCACTAGTTGTGGAGATGGGCTGGTCGCTGGGGGGCTGGGGATGCTAGAGGGTTTTGAGAGTGAGGATAGAAGCAGGTGAGAATCTGGGGTTGACCTTGGGGTCTCACCTCACTCAGACTTGTCTTGCACATCTCTCTGTGGACCCTTCAAGGCCCTCCTCCTGCCTACCTGGCACCTTCTGCCCCCAGGTGAGGGGAAGAGGTAGACAAAGGTGGGAGGTTCTCTGAGGGCCAGATGTCTCCTGGCTCTGAGTGACGATCCCTAGAACACCTCACTCCATTTCAGCTCAGTTCTTTTGGTGACAAGATGCTGAGCCAACAGCTCATAAAAGCAGGGCGAGGGGCCCCTCACCTGAGACCCGCAGCCCCAGAGGCTCACTGGGCTGTGACAGCAGGTAGGGTGAGGGGCTGAGTGAGCTGTAGCACCTGTAGGTGCCCCCGTGGGCTGAGGTCACAGGACTCATGGAAAATTCTGCCTGGTACTGCTGAGCTCCAAACTCTGAAATTAGACATGAGGAAAAGGGGTTCACTGCTCCCTCCTCAGACAGAAGGAAAGTGTTCCTCCAGGTCTGTGACTGACACAGCAGGGTCACCTTCTCTCCTGAGGTCACCTTGGAGCCTGACTGCACCGAGAGGGAGGGTCTGTCAATTATCCATCCTAGAGAGAGGGAGGGTGGGTGAGGGGCTGCCTGCCCACCTTGTCCTGACCTGAGAGTCACCAGGCCTCTCTCCTAGGACCCTTCTCTCTGTCTGTCCCTGTTCTCTCTGAGTCTCCCCTCTCCCCTCATACGCTCGACTTGCTCTATCTCTCTTTCTCCCTGGACCTGCACTTTCATTCTGACCATGACCACCTGAGACCCCCCAGCAGAACCTGTGCAGAGTCTGGTTCCTGACTGAACCCCTGACTCCTCACTTGCCACCAGGATGTCCAGGGGGTCAGTGGGGACAAACCATGCAGAGGAGAGATTGTGTCCACCGTAGCATCTATATCGGCCCCTGTGGGAGCTGCGCACAGTGTCCAGGGGGAAGTCAGCTTGAGAGAGCCCAGCCTGGGGCTGCAGGACAAGGCTCTGGGGGAGGTCCTGTGCCCCCTCCTTGGACAGACCGAATCTGTCATAGCCGACATCAGAGCGACACTGGAGGGTCAGGCTCTGTCCAGAGGCCACGATGGGGCCCTGCTGGGCCAGGAGGGAGGGCTTCCCAGACACACCTGAGAGACCAGACGTGAGTACAGGGGCTGCTCCTCCCATAACCCCTTCTCCTGGCCTGGCCCGGGTCTCACTGTCTCTGTGTCTCTGCCCCAGGAGCCCCTGTGCTCCCCTGACCTCACCCTGTTACACAGGGCTCCCCTCCCAGCAAAGATGCCAACAACCTGTCTGGTGCCTCAATCCATGAAAGGGACAATCATGGGACTCACCTGGGACCAGGAGCTCCAGGGGGTCACTGGGGTGTGACCATACTTGGGGGCGGTAACTATAAAAGCCATAGCATCTGAACATCCACCTGTGGCTGGGGGTCACAGGGCCCACAGGGAACAGGGCCTGATACTGCCCCGTGGTGTGTGGTTGTGAGTCCAGGGTCCAGGAGAGCAAGTGTTCTCCTTCCTTAGTCAGAATGAACCTGTCAAATCCCTCCCCTGAATCACACCGGAGGGTCACACTCCCTCCTGAGGTCACGACAGGGCTGGGCAGGGCTGAGAGGCTGGGTTTGCTGTAGGATCCTAGGAGGGAAAGAGACAGCATGTTAAATGGGGCTCACACCTCCCTCGTGTCCCCCAGGGCTGGGCTGTAAGCAGGTAGACACGCTGACAGCAGACCCCTTCCTGAGGGCAGGACCAGCGGCTGGGACCCCTGAGTGTCCCCTCACCTGTCACCACCAGCTCCAGGATGTTACTGAACTGTGACCAGCCAATGAAGCTGATGTAGTAACAGTAGTATCTCCCTGCATCATGCTCTGTCATGTGTGTGATGGAGAACAGGACCTTGTCCCTGCGCTTCCATGGAGTCTGTGTCTTCCAAAGTACACGTTGTTGTTGTCTAAACAGACGAAACTCCTGGGCTTCCAGGGCCCCTCGACACCAGAGGGTCACAGGACTCCCCCAGGGGATCACGGAGCCTGGTTCAGCCCAGAGGGTGGGTTTGGAGAGGGTCCCTGGAAGGTAAACCAGAGGCTGTGTCACAAAGACCTTTCCACCCCTCAGTCCCTGCCCCAACACCCTCACATTTTACCACCTCATCCCTGGGCCTCTGTGCTCCCCCTGAGTCCCAGGAAGAAGTAAGAGGTGGACATGGAGCCAGACGAGAACTCACCTGCCTGCGTGTGGATCCTCTGGTCCAGACTCAGCCCTGGAAGAGAGACCCAATCAGAGATTTGCTGCCGGACATTTGAGCTGATTCCCTTCCCATCAGGACCCGTCCACTCTGCTGCCTGAGCCTGTGGTTCCCATAATCCAGAGGGGTAGCCTCCTGGTCCCTCTCCTGCTGCCCCCTCCCCATGTCCACAACTGACCGAGGCAGAGAAGCACAGGGAGGAGGGACGTCATGGCACCTGCTCTGAGTGCTCTGCAGATGGACGGGACCCTGGGCTTGAAGGACAGAGATGCACAGGAAGTGGTAAGTCAGGGGCTTTTGCCATCTTCCTGTTCCCACCGCTGTGAACACACAGCAAAGGGTTCACCCCACCCTGACCACGTTCTGGTGTTTCCATGATGAGGGCTTAGAAGGACCCCAGGACCTCTGGAGACACTCAGCCAAGATCTGGGGTCTCCTCTGACCGAGGACACTCGGCCAGGTCTGACCTCCTGCTCAGAGAGGGCAGGTCCCGGGTTGTCATCCTGAGTTGACCCTGACTGGATGGCTCCAAGTAGAACTCCCCACACATTTTCTCCCATATGCAGAATATAATTTTAGTATTTTCTAACCCAAAAAGAAATATTTACTGGTCATTTATTACATGCCAAGTATTTGGGCCAGATTCAGAAATACATCCGACTTCTAGGAAACCCATTTCCTGTATTCTGAGACATTCCTCTTAGCAGGGTGTGGGCCTTCTAAGGCTAATGTCGCCATTGCATTTCTTACAAAGGAGAAACTAGAGAAAATATGAGAACAACTGGGACCATAACTAGACTGCGGTTGAAGGAAATGGCTGTTTGAAGACGAGAAGCTTTTGAGGTGGGAGTGAAAATATTCTTGAGAGGAAAAAACACTCCAGAGAATCCTAGAGACAGGGACTCTCTGAGAGGGTGAGGTGGTGGTTGATCAGGGGGGTGCTCTCCCCCCATTGCAAGGAGGTTGGATTGTGTCTATAAGGCAAAGGCAGTACATAGGAATGGACTGTGATGGTCAGACTGGATTATGAAGATCATAGGAACTAGAGAAAGGCAATATGTGGAAATAAACTCTAATATCAACAGTAACTGAACTCCAGTTCTTGTGTTTCCAACCATGTCACATGAGTGGCTTACATGGATTTACCACACAATCCTTGCTTATCTCTCAACAGTCAGAAACAGATGCAGAGAAGAGAGATGAGAAGGAATCTGTGTTACTTCTAGGTTTGGACCTGTAGCTGTTGGCTTAGGAAGAAATTTGCTAGTTCGATAGAACTCTAAACTAGCAGATATTAAAAATGGAACTGCCTTTTGATCCAGCGGTCTCACTTCTGAAACTATATCCTAAGAACTGTGAAACACCAGTCAGAAAGAATATAGGCATCCCTATGTTCATAGCAGCACTATTTACAATAGTTAATTCTGGAAACAGCCCAAGTGCCCATCAGTAGATGAGTGGATAAAAAAAAAGCTGTAGTACATATGCACAATGGAATACTACGCAGCTATGAAAAAGAAGAAAAATTTTACCCTTTGTGACAGCATAAATGGACCTGGATATTATTTTGCTAAGTGAAATAAGCTGTTCAGAGAAAGATAAATAACACATGATCTCACTTATATGTGGAATCTAATGAACAAAATTAACTGATGAACAAATTAGGACCAGAGACATGGAGGCATGGAACAGACTGATGGATCTCAGAGGTAAGGGGCTTGGGAGAGATGGGAAGAGATTAACCAAAGGAGTTATATGCTTGTGTGCATAGCCCGTGGCCACAGACAATAGTTTAGTGAAGGCCTGGGGTGGGGTGGGGGCTGAGCTGATGGGGGCAAAGTGGGGGTGAAAACGGAGGACATCTGTAATACTATCCACAATAAAAAAAAAAAAACTGTTTAGTAAACTATGTCCTCTGTTGACCTCAGTTCTTATCACTGTAATCCAGGGGTGCCAACACCACCCCCAAAAACATGGTAAGCATTCTTCTTGCCTGAGATATGGAGGGAATGAAACCAGCCATTCAAAGCCAGGTGGAGATTTTGGAGGTTTGAGAAATTAAAAAGCTGAGCTACCTTGTCCAGATGGAAGAATCCAGATCTGGCCACTCGTGTGGAGTCACCTGAACCATGACAGACACTTGCAGTGCAGGGGCAGATCCCGGTCTCTCCCTCACCCTTGATGCTGGACCAGCTGGTGAGTCTATGGAAGGAGATGAACTTCCAAGCCTGCCTCAGATGAGCTACCGATCAAAAAACAAAGAGTAAACCAATTACGTTTTTGGTTGTTTGTTTGTTTGTTTGTTTGTATTTATCTTTAGATAGAAAGGGAAGGAGAGATAAAGAGGAAGAGAGAGAGAGAAACATCAATGTGAGAGAGACACATGGACCAGCCACAACCCACACAATCCCAACTGGGGCCAGGGACAAACTGCAACAGAGGTATATGCCCTTAGTGGGAACTGAACCCTGGACTCTCTGGTCCACAGGCTATGCTCCAACCACTGAGCCAAACCGGCCAGGGCCAAAATTTCTTCAAGTGCTTACAAAACCATGAGCTTAGGAGTAAATGGGTTCTGAGGGATCCAGTAGTATTAAAAAGCTCTGTTCCTTGTAGACACGAGCATGAGAGCGAAAAGGAAATCGCACAGTGGACACCGTGGGACAAGAGGGTTGCGATGCCACAATGAGACAATGGGCTGGGACTCAGATCCCTGAAGAAACAGCTACAAATCTCTAACATGACTGCAGACAACAGGAAGGCAAGCGAGAAACTCTAACAAGCAACCCACACTGACGTGCAAACGTACATTCATATTTGTAAAAGGTGGTGAGTTTTGTACATCAACCAAGAAACATAAAATAAATCACAGGGTGGTACCAATACCTGCACTGAATGGCTTTTTTTAAAAAGCGGAAAACACTAAGTGTTGGCGTGGATGTGGACTCACCGACACCCTCAAACACAGGGATAGTCATGGAAGTGCGGCGACCACTGGGAAACTGCTCAGCAGAATCTACAAACAATGAGCCCCCTCAGAAGCCATAGTCGGATATCTCATTGTGCTGTTTAGAGCCCAGCTGTCAGGGGCTGAGTCAGGCCCAGAACTGGGGTCCTGCCCTCTCCAAGCAGGAGTTTGGAAGAGGCGGAGAGATGAGACCCTGACAATCAGGGGAGATCTCCGATATTGCTGATTTTTCTCCTGAGATAGTTCACTCCTCCTGATCCCTCATCCAGGGGAAACCCAGAGCCAGGCCCAGTCGGGGAGTCCCCTGCTGTGGGTGCCCAGCTGTGCAAACTCGGAAGGCTGCAGAAGCTCCTGACTCACCACATCCTGTGCATCTCCGTCCTCAGGCCCAGGGTCCCGTCCATCTGCAGAGCACTCAGAGCAGGTGCCATGACGTCCCTCCTCCCTGCGCTTCTCTGCCTCGGTCAGTTGTGGGTGTGGGGAGGGGGCAGCCGGGGGGGATGAGGAGGTATACCCCTTGTTCATGGAAACCTCAGCAGAGGTGGATGGGGTCCTGATGTGAAAGGAATCAGCTCAGTCCAGGTGCAACTTTCTCAAAGGGTTTCTTGTCCAGGGCTGAATCTGGACTGGAGGATCCACACGCAGGCAGGTGAGTCCCCCCAGGCTCCAGGTCCCATCTCTTACTTCTCCCCTGGAGTCAGGAGGAAGCACAGAGGCCCAGGGTGTTGGACAGAGCAGAGGACTGAGGGGTGGGAAGGTCTTTGTGATGCAGCCTCTGATTTCCTTCCAAGAACCCTCCCCAAACCCACCATCTGGGCTGAGCCAGGTTCTGTGATCCCCTGGGGGAGTCCTGTGACAATCTGGTATCAGGGGACCCAACATGGCAATAAGTTCCGTCTCTATAAAGAAGAAAAAGTTCCCATGGAAACCCACGAACAATGCCAAGTTGTCTATCACACAGATGACCAAGGCTATGCAGGGAAATATCACTGTTACTATCAGAGCCCCTCTGGCTGGTCAGAGCACAGTGACCCCTGGAGCTGGTGGTGACAGGTGAGGGGGCACTCAGGGGGTCTCAGCCTCAGGCTCTGCCCTCAGGAAGTGTCGGTTCTCAGGGCCTCTGCCCTCTCACAGCCCAGCCCTGGGGGACACGAGGGAGGTGTGACCCCATTTAACATGCTGTCTCCTCCCCTCCTAGGATCCTACAGTAAACCCAGCCTCTCAGCCCTGCCCAGCCCTGTCGTGACCTCAGGAGGGAACGTGACCCCCCAGTGTGGCTCAGGGCAGGGATTTGACAGGTTCATTCTGACTAAGGAAGGAGAACACAGGCTCTCTGGACCCTGGACTCACCACATTGGGGGAGGGTGGGAGTGGCGGTGAAACGGTAAAGGCATGGAGAAGTATAACTTGTTTGATGATTTGTTGATGGCGGCCCTTCTGACAGGTGTGAGGTGATACCTCATTGTTGTTTTAATTTGCATCTCTCTGATGATAGGTGACATTGAGCATTTTTTCACATGTCTCTTGGCCATTTGTATGACCTGTTTGCAGAGGTGTCTCTTTAGGTCCAATACCCTTTTTTTCAATTGGGTTGTTTGTCTTCCTTTTGTTGAGTTGTATGAGCACTCTATATATTTTGGAAATTAACCCTTTATCTGATGTATCATTGGCAATTATGCTCTCCCATACAGTGCGTTCCCTTTCCATTTTGATGGCTGTTTCTTTTGCTGTGCAGAAGCTTTTTAGTTTGATGTGGTCCCATGTGTTCATTTTTTTCTTTGTTTCTCTTGCCTTAGGTGTTATATCAGTGACAATGCTGCTGCGTGTGATGACTACGTGATTTTTTTAAATGTTTTTTTTCTGTGTAGTTTTTTTTATTATTCTATTTATTGAATTTACTTGTCAAGTCTTCAGCCATCACCATTTATCCCCGAATTACCGTCTTCTACCTTTCAACCCCCATTTCCCTCTTGTACTCACCATACTGTTGTCTGTGTCTGTGAGTTCTTTTGTTTGTTTGTTTCTTGCTTAATCATTTCACCATTTTCATGTAGTCCTTCCTCCCCGCCCCCAAGAGCTGTCAACTCTTTCTCTATCGGTGAGTCCGATTCTATCATGTTTCTTAGCTTATTTGGCTCATTCATTTCCACAGGTGAGACAGATATATACTAATTTTTTTCATGGCTGGCTTATTTTTCTTAGCCTAATAATCTCCAGGTCCAACCACGCTGTTGCAAAAGGTAA